ACAAGAGGAGATCCTCATCAGCTTTCAGAGCCCTGGCATCACACAGCTCGCTTACAGTCTGGGGGTATTGCTGAGCTTCCCAGGAACTAGCTTGAATTAAATGCAACTGTTGAACCATGTTGTGCAACTTGTATTGCAGAGGATGCAGGATGTAATTGCAGTTTAAGGTGGGTGATGATAATGAGAAGATACCTACGAGCTTTCCATCACAAGGTAATCAGGCTGGAAAGGAAGGTGTTTTGTGTGAACATTGCTTGTCACAGTGCCTCTACTTTAATTAGTACTATTTTTAGCTATATTTATCTGTATTATAGCTCTTGGTATGGGCAAAGGTGTCTCAATAATGTAACACTCATTAATTCAGCAGCTTCACTATGTCAGATTACAGTGCCAGTAACAGCAGATGTGTTTCCTATAGTTACTTCATGTTCACAATGTTCATAAAACAAATTATTTTTTCTCATTTTTATCTGGCACTCAGATATAGGATAATAAAATGGCTTGTTCAGGCTGTGGTGGAAAATTTTTGCTAGGGCTCAACTTTTCTATAGAGGCCACTGGGCTTATAGCCTGCCAAGGGGCTCTTGGCTGTAGTAATGTAATATTTTGTTGTTGTTGTTTTTCTTTTTTCTTCCTCTAAAAATGCCAGCGACAACCCGTTTTTTCTTTGACACTGTGACTAAAGGACCAAACACTAAGGGGAGGTGGCTCAGCACGTGGCCCCTGGTGGTGGCTTTGCCAAAACCACTGCCAACTCAGAAAGGGCTCTGGTAGAAAGTTCATGTCCTGCATGACTTCTAGAAATGAGACTTCAGATTGTTTCAATTAGCTAGAAATTGGGCTTAAAGAGGGTTTTTGAAGAAAAAATTAGACCTTCCCTGGCCTAATTTTGCTGCAGGGAAGCTGTTTGCAGATCCCCAGTTTGCTGATATTCAAATTCCTTAGTGCATTTTCCCACTTCCCAGTGCTGCACACTTGACCTTGTTACAGCATTTTTAATAAGCTTGATTTAAGGTTTTTAGGACAAGACATGATTGGAGTGAAAGGAAAAAAGTATTAAGGGAAAAATCGGTTGACAACTTGAATTTCAGAGTAAGCAGCTCATAAAGCAGCATCTCTATCTCCCCTTACTGCTTTGTTGGGTATTGTCTGATTGCATCGTCACTTTCACATTGGAGGTAAGAACTGCCTTCACTGGATATTCTAAGAATTACCCAAATTTGGTGCTCTTCTGAGAAGCAAGTCTGTCCTTTAAGGAGAAGGTTTTGCCTACCTTCAACACATCTCTTCTGTATTTCAACTTGCCATTTGCCAGGCAAAGTGCTACACAAGGGGAAGCAAAAGAGGCTCAGCTCCAAATTTGACATTTCCTGGGTCTGTATGCTCACACCTCCTAAAAAATTCTCAAGAAAGGACCCAGCTCTCACTTTTGGGTCCATCTTCTGGAAATGTTAACAGTGATTCCATTGGTTGGAGGAACAAGTTTCAAGCCAATATGGTAGCATTTGCTGAATGGAATCATCTAAACTGTGGTTTCTGTTCATATGAAGGATTGTGTGGATGTTATCGAGGGGCAGTGTGTGGCAGGATGTGAGAGCTGGAACAGGGCTGCGATTCAGGAAGCCAAAAGATGGCAATCATCTCCAAGATCTTAAAATCTAAGTTACATTTTTACAGTCCAAGTAGGTAGAATTCCAGCAGAGGCTGCCATAGGACCTTCTCTCAGATGCAGGCTGCCTGTGTTCTCTTGTTTTCCAACACGGCTTTGTAAATACGGTGTATCAGTAGGTTTGTATCAGAAGCCTTTCCTGGGAACTGTCAACAAAACCATAGCTCCTAAATTAACCTGCTGAAAGCTTATCAGGGTGAAAATGGTTGAAATTTCCTGAGATCTTTGCAGCAACGAATTGTAACTAGGAAATATTTCTGTGTGTTTTCTGCTAACTAATGCACCGTTACAATTTTTTAAGGCTGGAGGGAGGATGCCAGTGATCTTTGGGAATGAAATATACCAAATTGTTCTGTAACTAGATAGTGCCACTGAGAACAGCCAGAGACCTGCTGTGTTGCAAAAGGTGCTCCGTTACCCCGATTCTCCCATGGGGTTAACACGTGGCAATTGAAGCAGCGTGGTGACGGCTGTCCTTCTGTGCCCGCTCCAAATTCCACTGCTTGCATTTCCCCCCAAGCGGCGGTGACCTTTTGCCAAGTTTGAGGCTGAAAGGGCTGTGAAATACCGGAGCTCACCCAGAGGACAAAACAGAGGAGAACTAGCTGGAAGCCAGCAGGCATTTCCTGGGAGGAGATGGTGAAGGCAAGCGTCAGCCATGGGTTATTCGGACAGTGAGAGCGACTGCTCTGACAAAAAGCGCTATTTCTCTGGGAGCAGTGATGAGTACTCGTGTGATGAAGCTGAGAAACTATTTGAAGCTGAGAAAGTATTCGAGTCAGTGCTCGCAAGCAGAGCTTTCCAATGCTTGCTTGTTGCATATAATGCCGTGTAATTCACATAGCTGTTTATCGCACTTAATGCCCCGCGCCGCAGCTTTTGCAACATGACCTTTAAAATGTGTACTGACCATTTGTTTTGCTGCGAGGTGGTTGAGGTTAATGTGTAGGTGAGTTGCATGTCTTTGGATGTATTTGCAATCTTTAAAGAGCAGGCAGTGTTTAAAACTCAGCTGGTGTGTGTAAAAGATTTCTACGTAGAGCTGAAAATGCTTTGGCCTTTTTCTTCTGGTTTATCCTCCTGTTCCTAGGAACACGGTTAGATTTTTAATCCTGCACGGTGGGAAAACCCCCATAATAACAACTTAAAATCGATGTAGAGCAGGGGAACAAGGCTGCTCAGCAACGCAGGAGATCCTGGGACCTGGTACTTTTGTGACCCATCTCCAGCTCGTGACAACGATTTTCCCTGGAGCAGGTGATAGGAAGGCATTGGCACCGTGGTGGTAGAACGCAGCCATGCTACCATTGGTGACAGACCACCAAAACTCAAAGTTGGCTGGCAGTCCTTTTGCTGAGCTGACCTTGCTGCCAATGGCACCTCTGCCTTCCTCCCTGCCCCTGCAGAAGGAGCAAAATGCTGTTTTCTGCAGGGAGAACATCCCTGTTGGAGGCATAGGGAGGTTTTGTAGCACAGAGGGAGCACCTCCGAGCATCCCTTTTGGATTAATGCTTTCTCCCCACATTTGCAATTTCATTATTCCCCTAGAAAAGTGCTGGAATGGGGGTTTTTAGGGCTGTTGGGTGTGCAAACCATGTATGGAATGGCTTTTGTGGCAGCTCACCCTTAAGCTTGCAGTGCTTCAGGGTATTCAGAGGTGCTTGTTTCTTGACTTAACATTTTCTGTCTGAAGCACTATATAATTCATAAAAAAAAAAAAATTCCCCTAACTTATCAGTTATTTCTGCTTGTGCAGAACATAAGGAAGTCTTAGAACTGCATGACTTTCTGCATTATAAAAGCCTTTACATCTCTGTTTGTGCTAAGCAAAATGTCCTTTGGAAAAGAGCCTTCATTCCACACTAATTTCATGCTGATTAAACACACGTATCAGGTACAATGCAGTGGAAACCATAACAGTTATTTGTGTATTTTAATCTTTAATGTTGAAGTTTACTTAAAACATTTGAACTGAAGCCATAAACACCTGTGTTTTGCTTCTCTGCAATCTGAGAATATGTAATGGTAAACGTTTTGTGACAGGCATCCAAGATAGCAGAACATCTATCTGAACTTTTAGTGGGAATTAATGCACAACCAAAACCATTACATCCTTGTTTAATAACACATTAATATCTGAGCAGAAGTTGGCTACAGCAACTTAGTAGAATATTAAATATTATAATTTCTTGCCCTCTTTATATTTACCGAAGTTTTAGAAGTTAATAGAAATGTTTTTCTAATGCTGTTCGTCTACTTTCTTTAATTTGTTTTAAGTGACAATTTTGTTTGTTGGCATGGATAAATTAGCACTAACACAATTACTTTTATTGAAAATGATCTCAAAGAATGCTTTGGATTGAACATGAACATTTATTTCAATTTTATTTCTGCTCGCTCTGCTTTAAAGGTAGCTTAAAGATAAATTAAATTGAAGATAGCTTGAAAGCGATGAAAGTAAATGTAATTAACAATTAAAGGGAGAGTACCTGGTCCTGGATGGGTGTACATGCACCACTCTCCTTTTCACCACGCTGCTGCTTTAATACTTCCAGTCTTTGAAGAGGAGAATTGCTCTTTCCAATGGCATTTCTAAATCTCATTTTCTACTTCAGTGGAAATAAGCAGTGGTTTTCCAGTCTAAATGAATTAGATGTGTTTAAAAGAGGTGGATCTATTTTGCCTGTAATCCCTTTATATTTAATAGGTGAAAAGATTTTGAGTGGATTTGAGTAAAGCAGTGATTCTGACTCCTGCATTCTGGTTTGGCAGCACAGAAAGTGCAGCGGCATTCAAAACACGGTGGAGTTCTAAAAAGGTCTGATTGAAATTAACTTCTTGATTTGTAGCTTGGGCTGGCCGAGGCCAAACTGTGTGGCAGGAGAAGGAAAAACTCTGAATATCTAATAATGAAGATACATTGTGCCTCAGTGTCCTTCTTAACTGCCTACTTGACCTTTCAGCTGTGACATATTGCCCTCTGAACCATGGCCAGGGAAGGCAAAATGAAGGTTTTGGGGGAGGAGGACGTAGGTAGAAGTCCATCAATACATCTATGCAAATAGCTAATATTTCTATAGCTATTTCTGTATACAGAAAGATGGAAGACCTTGCCAAACAAAATGGCATGGGCCAATACATGGCTAGATGACAATTCACAACGGGAGCCTACTTCTGGTTTTCTGCATGTTTTTTTGCTCTCATGTGCTTGACTCCTGTACAGGTGAAGAACATCTTTCCAAGGAAAAAGTTGTGTTTTATTCTTGAAGTGCTTAGAATGAAGTACGTTCAGAAGTATAAAGTTTGCTTAAGAAATGTATTTTTCTTTCAGGGAAGATGTCAGAACTGCCAACGTCATTGCAGCTGAAGCAGTAACTTGTCTGGTCATAGACAGAGAGTAAGTACACAAACTTCCTGTCTTGGGGTGCATCTCCAGCTCACACTTTTTATAGGTTTTAACTAAAGCCTTTGATTATTTTCTGTAAGGTTATTTAATTTTAAAAAATATATTCACAGTATATTACGTGTCCTTGATGAAGTAGAGCATTCCCCGAGATAAAAATTCAGTGATGACAAATACAGAAAATTAAGAAGTACAGAATGACAAAATGGAAATAAATAGAGATCTAAGCATTATGGTGGTACACAGACTGAGTTAGTATCAGCAAAGTATCGTGAACAAAAGAAATTTTCTGACAAATGCTAGAAAAACATGTTATTCTTTTCCATGTAGGGTTGGAGAGCCCTTGTCCATAGGACCTAGCCCTGCTTAAAGCTCTGCAATTCCAAGAGGATAGATCAGAAGAGCAAAATAACATTTTACCTACTATGCATGGAAAATGTTGAGGAATTAGGCATTTTTTCATCTAGGCAAGAAATGCCTGCACTCCAGGAAAACAGTGCGGCAAAGGGACTGGGGAAAAAAATAGCATTACCTTGAAAATGCATTGTGACTCTTGGGGTGGTTTTCCAGTGATGAGGGCAGGGAGGCACTGGGATACACCATCACACAGAGAAATCTTCCACCTTCACAGTGGAAAGTGTTAGTTGTGATTTTTATTACTGCATGGGGAAGATTGGTTTTGTAATGGACAGTGCCACAAAAAAATTACCAGCTCAGAGTTCAGCAGTGATTAAAAAAATAATTTTTTTTTTAAAAAATCTATTGTTAGGCATTAATAGAATATATATATATATATTAAGTAAATCTATGGCTTGTCTATGCTTCACACTCTGTGTTGCTCTTGTTTCCTCCAAAATGAGAAGTTAGACCAAAAAGTTGTTTGGAAACGGGTAGAAAAAATGATTGATGGAGAGAATGGCTTCTGTTGGAAAAATAAGCAAGTAGGTTGAAAATCTGTTCTGGGAAAGAGATGATGAAATGAATTTCTCACTGCGTCCCCAAGCATGAGAACCCAGAGGTAAGCAGGAAGGAAGTGGAGCCAAAAGGAGGTGGTTCTTCACACGGGGTGGCTCATGGAGCTCCTCCCTATAGAAAAAGAAGAAGCTTACAAGTGTTCAAAAGGAAAAGAAATCCACTGGATTTATTAAATATGCAGGAACTCTACTGCTGGCTCAAGGGAGTCTCTGAGAGGTGTAAGAGTATTGAGACAAATATAAATGCTGGATCTGTTCTTGAATTTTTGAAGACATAAGGAACTGATGTAAGACAAAGTCAAAGGGCAGCTGCTGAGTTACAAGTGACTTCTGAGGCATTCTTGTAGTGTGATGAGATTAATAGGAGATGCATCTCATGTTCTCTGGTAGGCATGAACTAAATGCACCCAATCCTTTTTAATACAGGAGCTTTATATTCAATTATCTCTTGATGTTTATCCCCAAACTTTCTTGTCGTGTTCTGAAGTAACAGAACTGAGGAAGAGTACTTAAAAAAATCTTAGATCTTCTGATCTGCTAGTTCATTTATCATCAATTTAAAAAAAAAGCCAAGCAACTAAATGATGGTTTAGCTGTTGAAAACAGATGGTGAACTTCAGGACTGTCAGCTGAATGGCATTCTTCCACATATACAAGCAAGGTAGCCTGACAGATAAAATACATATTATCCCTTGTTATTCTGTGGGCAATAAGAAGAATCAGCAGAATTAGATATTGTAGCAAACATTAATTCAGAGAAATATAAAGCAAAGAGTCATTTCTGCATTTTTTCTGAACTACTCTATGGGGGTCATTTTTGTTTTCCACCGTAAGCATTTTAGAAATGAATTAAAAAAATAAGTAACCCCAGATTTAATCCTTCCTGAGTATTTTACAGACCTCATCTAATATCCCCTTTACTCTGTATACAATGACCTTGAAATAGTAAGGAAGTACAAGTTAAATTTAACTGATGAAGCTGTAGATCATCTACACCAGGGATTCTAGTAATGCTCAGCAATTAGTAGCAGAGTAACACTATTTATAAGAGTACTATTTATAGATCAAGAAATGTAATGCTATTTATATCACTATTTATAGTTCAAGGAACTCTGTTCTCTATCTTGACCAGTTCTGACTTTCTTGTTGTAGCTCTTCCCTTCCATTATTGTATCATGGTTTGCAGATAACCATAGAAGATAATTTTAATATGGAGAAAATGCAGTAAGACTTACGTAAATTTGGAAAATTGTGCAGGCACTGTTCTGCTAATGAGGAAAATAGCATTTTTGTATATCCAGATATACTGAATATTAAGACGTGTGGTTTGTTGTGGTGGTCAGCATAGAGGTTTGCACTGAGTTATATGCAAAGTAGCAACGGAATCTGGGAGTCAGCTTTACTGATTATGGTTAGAAGTTCTTCTGCACAAAATGCTTGTCACTACAGTTTTTTAGTATTTTCTATTACAAGACAAGCTCTTTGCTTAATCAAATGTACCTATTGAAGCAGCACTCTCATGCTCTATATATCAGGCTAAAATGATGCTCAAGGAACGTTGGGACACTGCTCTTGGACACAGGGTTTGGGTTTGTATGGTCCTTTGTGGAGCCAGGAGTTGCACTCGATGATCCTTATGGACTCTTCCATCTCATGTTATTCTATAATTCTATGTGCTTACAAAGTAGTAAGGAAGAGAATGTAACAGCATGAAAGTTAATAGCAAAAAGGGGAAATATATATGGAGTATACTCGGGGAACAGAAGTTACTGAAGGTGAGAGAATGTAATTGTTGAGCTGAAAGCTGTATATGGACAACATGTCTCATGGTATGGTTTCTGAAGGAGGAAAAACAGGAATGTGATTATGGAGTTTGGGTTGGTTTTGGAGACGTGGAGAAGAAGATGTTTGAGGGACTGAAGAGTTACAGATACCAGTCAGACATCAGAAGTCTCTGAACAGACCACGATTCTTGGACACAAAGAGAGGAAACATGAGCTAACAGAAGGAAAAAAAGGCTTAAAGCAGTAAAATTCATGCTGGAGAGTGAACAAAAGTTGCAGGCAGTTACAGCAGCTGGGAAAGAAAGGAGGAAACCTGGCTCCAGCTAAGAACTGGAAGCTGTGAAGAAATCCAGTCTGTGGCTGTACAAAGAAGGAAGATTTTGCAACCAATATGGGAAATTCTGCAAAACCAGGAATTGTGTATGGAGCCAGAGAAAGCAACTGGAATCCTCTTAAGGGAATCTTCATCTTGTCCTGAAAGCAGAAAGGCATGCTGTGTTTCAGGAGTAAAGATGCTACATTTGCACAGAGATAACAGAAATGTGGTAGAGGAGCAATGAACCATGGAGTTCATTTCCTAGGGATCCAAAAGGCTGCAACCTATTAAGGAGGTGTCCAGGATAGAAACCTGGTGTGGGTCAAAATCACTATGAACAGAATAACAGAATAGTGGTGAACAGAGACACCTGGATGTGTTTGGAAATGGGTGCAATCAGGTATGGATAGAATAGATCTGAAAAAAAATTTTGGCTATGGAGGTGTCTGGACCAGAGAAAAGGAAAAATAATTGCTAGTAATAGTAGAAGGTTGTTGATTAGGCTTAGAGAGAAAGTCTAAAAAGTAAGTTAAAGAGATTGTAGGAGAGAAAAGGGGCTCTGTGAGATCAGGTAACAAGGGCACCTGTTATTCTTTCCATGTTCTTAGTAACTTTCTTCAGTTCTCAGAAACTTTCATCATAGAAAGGTGACGTATTTAGGAAATGATTTATAGGGAATTAATGTGTGTTCTAAGTGTTTGTTTCGGGGGAATGACTGTAGAGGGTTGGCTAGTTGGTTTGAGATAGATGTTCTGCCAGTATTTAGAAAGTGCAAAGAAAATGTAAGGAGCTTCAGATGTGGGATCTCTAGGCAGGATGGCAGCACTAGGACCTGCCCCATAGTGGCTACACTGGGATCACCATTGATTTTGTTCACCCAAGAAAGCTGGCAATCCATTGGTGTAGAATAATAGAGTGGTTTGGGTTAAAGATCATGTAGTTACAAATCTCTGCATGGGTGTATTCCACTATAACGTTAATCACAGAATCACAGAATGGCTTGGGCTGGAAGGAACCTCAAGGATCATCAATTTCCAACCCCCCTGCCACATGCAGGGCCACCAACCTCCCCATTTAATACCAGCCCAGGCTGCCCAGGGCCTCATCCAACCTGGCCTTGAACACCTCCAGGGATGGACGGAGCATCCACAGCCTCTCTGGGCAGCTGTTCCAGCACCTCACCACTCTCATAGGAAAGAACTTCCCCCTGACATCCAACCTAAATCTCCCCTCCCTCAACTTCAAACCATTTCCCCTTGTCCTGCTGTTATCTATCCTTTCCAAGAGTTGATTCCCTTCCTGTTTGTAGGCTCCCTTTAGGTACTGAAGAGTTAAGCCATTAAAAAAAAACATATTTGTACCAATTCATGTGTATTCTAAAAAACAAGCTTTGTAAAAGGTAGGAAAGATTTCCATAGAATTTCAGAATATATTCCAGGTTTCAACATGTCTGTGCACACTGTCCTGGAGGAAGAGGTTCCATTAACCCAACAGGGCAAACAGATGCAGGTGGTGGCAAAGCTGACCATAAGAGGATAACAGCTTTGTAGTGAATTTGGACAGGCTATCTTTCTGGAGCAGGTGCTCTTGCCATCACTGAAGCTGTGGGAATTGGGTAATCAACTTGAAAACATCAGCAAAATCCACATGTTGTTCAAAGCAATTGTCAGGCTACTCAGCGCAGTTTCTGACCATTTGTGATTTGTGGAACCATTATGTGCATGAGGAACTAGAAAGCTTTTTGTATTTCTTTCTGATGGAAGATATGATCTCAGTAAACATATTAATATTTTATAACAGTTTTCGTTGTCAGATCTCTTTTTTTTTTTTTTTTTTCCTTAAGAATTCATAGGTGGTTTTTTTTATTATTTCTAATCTACTAAGGCCCTATGTGAAACAAAGCAGAAGCTGGTGGTTACGTGTTAACTACTGTGGTACTGCAGTCATTTATCCTGTAGGAAGAAAGTAATGGTGGGAAGTGGACAACATGGTTGACTCCAAAGTATTTCAAACTTGGCCTTGACGTGACTTGTCTTAGTGACTTTTTGGGCTCCAGGAAGGTGTTTTTGGGTTTGTTGTAGAAGTAGAATGGACTGGCTGGGGGAAAGTTGGTAATTCAAATACGCTGAATGTGATAGATGCTTTAAAGCTTTGCAAAAGGCATCTGATAAAAACTGTGTAGGCACAAGTGGGACAACCTTGAGCATCTGTTTCGTAACTCAATTTGAATAAACACGTACAGACGCTTCACTTGTGACTGCTTTGCATGGACTTAAAACAGGAAGAAAACTTGCAAAACACGTTTGTAAAACTTAGATCATTTTTGACACCCCAGGAGAGCAGTTTGTGCAGATTAATCTTTTATTTATATGTGATTTTTTTTTTTCCTCCGTATAATTTATTTATGTTGATAAGAATATTTTCCTGGAGCACCAAGATTTCCAAGGTGTAAATGTTGTGGGTGCTAGGAGTACAAAATCACCCAATGCAAATGATGAGCTGAGACTCAGGGCACAGCTGCTCCTGACAGAGGCTGGCAGTGCTGCAGAACTGCCTGGTATTTGCAGATATTGAGTGCTAAATGATCTTTTTTCTGCTTACTGTCTTCTTCAGTTGTACGTGCTCATTTAGGGGCAGATATTTTTAAGGAAACCTTTTAAGTATTTCGGCTATTTTCAGTTTGGATTTTACATTATTGTCTTTATTTGTAAGCCTTCTTTTGGTTTGTGGGGGGATCGCTCTAAGGTTACTGTGTCAAACCTCTTGGCAATGGAGATCAGAGAAGAAGAAAAAAAAAAAGGTATTATCCTAGCATGACTGACCTTACACAAGCTAAGCTGAATGCTTTCACTGGAGATATTCATTTCTGCTGCTTTACTATTTTTCCCAGTTGGGGTGAGATTTATCCATGGAGAAAATTGGTTATGAGGAGAGAATGGAAAAAAAAAAATGAAAAGAGAAGGCTGTGCAGAGAAAAAACTGAGCAGTTCTCTGATGAAAGTCGTGGGGATGTTACAACCAAGATGACAGGCAATAAGAGAGTGACTCCAGCGGACTTCAAAATCCCTCCCAGTCCAAAATCTGGTTCAGGACAATCAAAGAAAAACTGAAGGGTATTAGACTGACCGTTGTTACTCCTTCCTGTGACTTCTTTTTTGCCTACGTACTGTCTCACTAGACAAAAATCTGTTCCCATTGCCAAAAAAAAAAAAAAAAAGTCTAACCCCACCACATTTTCTTAACCACATGAAAGCAACCCCAAGCCTTGCTATTTTAAATTGCATTTGAAGCCTTAGGTCATGCCTTGTAGCATGCCAGGAGGATTACAGTGTTGCTCAGTTGCCTAAATAGCAGTTTGTGAAGCATTAACATCTACTTCTTGCTTTACTTTCACTGCTGTCTTGCAAGGGCTTGGCTTCATCCAATGACTCATATTCATCTCTAGACTAACAAACCTTGCTGTGTCAAACCCTGGAGCTGAATTTTTTGTGCTTTCACTGCTGAGTAAGGGATTTTGCATTGAAAAGATCCTCTGGTTAATAACACATCCAAATAGCAAAGCATGCAACCTGCTTAACTTCTGCCTCGCTAGAAGATCCTAATGCAATTTCAGTGGAAGAGCAAAGGGATCCTTTCCTTCTCCTCTTCATTAATGAGCTCTTGTAGCTTTGCCTGTGCTGCATAAACGATTCCCTAGACTGCATAATTAATATTACAAATTAAGCAAAGTTGCACAATGAGGGAATTTGTGTGGGTACAGGGTATTTCCAGAACGGTGATGACTATAATTACACAAAAGGCCATGGTGGGAAGCCCTGTTACAGCACGTAACTCTAGATCCAAACAGTATAAATAGATCTCCTGACTGTGACCTCTTGTCTTTTATTTATTACAATAATGGCTAAAATGCAGCTTTTTCCAGCTGCCATTTGTAAAGCAAGAGCAGATAATAATTAAGCCTTACTTCATTCTTCTGGAAATTGTATCCTCCACTCGTAGTGCACACACCATGCTACTTCTCCTAAGGTCAGACATCTCCTGATGCAGCAAGACATTTAAGCTCCCCCTTAAGAACTTGCAGAGTGTTTGAGATTATTCAGCAAAGCACGATCCAAACAGCTTCACCACCCTTAAAGGCAAAGGGAACACGATGTCACAGGATGTAATGTTTTCTACAGATACATTCTATTAAAGCCAAATGCATCCGTTGGGTGAAAATACTTCTCTTTATCACCATATTTTCACTAACAGCTGAGATTCATGGCTCCTTATCCTAAAATGTCATGCATTCAGAAATCAGATCTTTAGAGGGAAAAAAACTGAAAACTGTTACCTTCATCTGCATTCATCATCTGATGAATAGCATTAATTCTCTTTTGTCCTGAAATTCTTTAGTAAGACAGGACAATGCGAAGTATTTTCTTCTTACTTCTGTGTGTGTAAATATGGCCCTAGGTGGTGGCGTTCTGTTTTTTTGGTGGGTTTTTTTTTTCAACTTTTCAATTACTTTTGAAATTTTGTTTGATTAAAAAGCCATTCTGTTCTTCTTTTCATACCTCATGAGGGTCAGGACCATATAGAAAAATACTGCAGGGTTCTCCATTTTGAAGCTGTGGCCTTAGGGCTTGATTAGTCACAAGGCTAAGCATTGTAGTTGGGAGCAGCTCATCCTTCCAAATTAGCTTAGCTCTTTCCTTGTTTTGCTAGTTCATTCTTTAAACTAAAATCCCACCCCATGCGAGACACACTCATGCACTGGCAAACAATGCAAGATTGTAGAAGGGAAGTATAATTTTCACTCGAAATTTTCAGTTATATTGATTTCAGTTATTAACATTATTTAAAACATTCAAACTTGCATTCCTTTTGTAGTTCCTGACGCTGTGTAATACCACTTCCACAGACACAACAGTCACCATTTTCATTGTTGTTTCCTCTGGAGCGATGCTTGTTACTTGATTGACTGGTCATCAGGTCCATTTGTTTGAGTCACTCACGATATAAAAAGATTTTCTAAGTCTTTTTTCCATATGTTTATGCCTTTTGCACCTCCCTTGGGGCAGGGGATGGTGTTAGGGGGCTGCTCAAACTACTGCTAGCTTGTACCAGGGATGGCTCAGGAGTGCTGATTGTCTCTCTCACTCAATGTTCAGCCTAATTAAAGCCAAATCTAGTTAAGCATTCCAGCTTATGATAATTTGCTTATCTTTCTCCCTTTGCTTTCTTTTCCTTCTCTGCTTTTTTTGTTTTTTGTTTTTTTCCCTCTTCTTATTTCTCCCTTCTCTGTTTTGGTTGCTGCTGCTCTTGCACTGAGAAAGCTTAGATATTGAAGTAAAGATTATCCTTCACTTCAAAAACAGGTATTTCTTGGGTTTCTGGTTGGAGAGCAGGGTATGATAGTGGCACTTCAACATCATGGGACTTATCAGCCAAATTGACAATGCCAGATTTTCTGTGAAACTTGTTGGAATTGGGTTCAGTCCCTGAAAAAGCTGGATAAAGAAGTTTGGACATTCATGGTTGTTATCCAGGGTCATCAAGGGGCACCCCCTGGTTGCTGCTGAAGAGCCACATTGGCTTGCATGGCTCCCTCCAGATGGACATTGTTCTCTTACCAAAAAATGCACCTTTGTTTTCTTTCACAGCTCCTTCAAACATCTGATTGGCGGCCTAGATGACGTTTCCAATAAAGCCTATGAAGATGCAGAAGCAAAAGCAAAGTAAGTGTTGGCTTGTTGTGTTCAGCATGGAATCTTCACCTAATTTTTCTTTTCCTAATGGTTTTCTTGATAGTGAATATTGCAATTCCAAAAAACCTGCATTTTCTCAACATAGCAGTGTAAAACAGCTTAAACAAGCAGTGAATGAAGTGCTTACTCTTAATTTCCCTCTGGATGAGCCTAATTTTATTTCCCTGGTGCTCTCTGTGAGTATGGAAGGGCCAGGTGAACATCGTGTCCCCAGGCAGGTGCCCAGCTGGGTGGTCCCAAAGTCACTGTGATGTGTGAGTCCAGAGAAGCCTCAGACCCTAAAGAAAAATCACAAAATAGTTCTTCTGACAGGTGGGAAATTACAGGTCTTGAAGACAGCAAGTAATGAGGGAAATTGCTGTTTTATATGAGTTTTCTTTAGAGAGCTGCAGTCTTTCCGAAACATTTTCATAGTGTCAAAACCTCTTCCGAGACAAAGAATGGTAAGTGAAGTTTGTCATTTTTGAGTGAATGCTACAGTTATTTTGACATGAAGCAATATATTTGTCTGAATTCCTAGCTATAAATACTCATTTGTTTCAGGAGCGAGCTGCAGTGTACTGTGATTTTAATATATTCCCCCCCAAAAAACACTCATAATTCATTCGTGATGTACAGTTGGTTTTTAAATGAAAGATTTTTGTATGTCCACAGTTGATTCTATAACAATAATAAAGCTTATAGAGAAGAACACATTACAATTCAAGTGATGGTGAGTATAAACCAGTAAGATTCAAAAGCCAGAGTCGTTTACAAGATAACTGAAGTTGCTATGTAAAAAATGATTTTACTGCTTTTTTTTCCTTCTTCCCACGTTAAAGAAGGGGTTGGGTGTTTTCTCCAAATCACATACTCAGAATGAGCATCTTTTAATCAGTGGTCGAAATTTAAGTCTGCTCTGAAGTCACACATGGACTTCTCATCAAACCAAAGTGGATTGAAATAGAGTATTGCAAAGGTATTCACACTTCTACAGAGAGAAAACGAAACAACCTACATGATTATTTAACTAAAAATATTGATTGTTTGCTTCAGAAAGCAAATATAAATCCTAAGAAACTCAGTTTCTTGGACAAGACTTACTAATTTTGCAAAGTACCTGCAAACTAAGATTTTTTTATTTTATTATCATATTCGATTGATACTAGAAATACATTTTTAAACGTGTTTTTTTATGTTGTGGGGTACTAGAAGACACCTTACGGTTTCATTATTCACCTGCCTCCAATCAAACTTATAAGATTATTTTCCAAAAGCTGAAGTTCCCCAAAATCCTTCTCTTAATTAAAAAAGGGAGGAGGTTATCAGCCTCTTCTCCCATCCCAAAAGGCAGATGATTGGAGCAGAACACAAAGTCAGATGGACAGCATGTTATCATAGTGCTTAAATGGCTATCATGTGTTACAGAGAAATGTACTGTACATTCCTATGCATGCAGTCTAGTAGTACTAGCTATGAACTTGAAAATAATGCTACTGGTTTGAAAATTAACCTAAGTAATTTAGAGAGATGGTCTTAAGTACTCCAAGGCAGTATGGTTAGGTTGCAGTTGGACTTGATGATCTTGAAGGTCTCTTCCAACCTGAGCCATTCTATGATTCCAAGCACTTCTATTTTTTTTCAGATTTGATTTTTGTGTTACTGTTCGGGTTATTGTGATTTCCATCTGAAAAAAAGGTGGAAAGCACTGATAATGAAATTGGGGATTTTTTAATTTTATTAATGAGATGATGATGTTATCACAGACACTTTAAAGAGTCACGCCAGAATCCGTTGGCACTAAGCAAAATTTACCAATAGAACTTGCCATTTCCCATTTCATCATCTGTATTCTCACATTCTCAGTTCTGAGCTGCATTTTTAATAGGGTATCATGTAGTCATATATCTTCACAATGTTTGTGTATGCAGGTTGTAACGGAAAATTTTTCATGCTGGATTTGTGACTTTTAGGGAAAGCTTTCAGGATCTGTTGCACAACTTACCTCTAGGAGGGCTAATTTTGGACCTATTTTGGATAAACTCATCATAGAATCATAGAATCAGCAAGGTTGGAAGAGACCCACAAGATCATCCAGTCCAACCATCCACCCATCACCAGCAGTTCACCAAAAATTCATTTGATTAATCAACGTTTTGTTCCTTTATGTTCATTTTGTCAGTTTTGAGCTTTTACATCCTTTATGCCTGTCCTTTTCTTCTAATGCCAACTATTTTGTCCAAATGAAAGGAAAAAGCAGAGGGTTGCTGATAATAGAGGAGTTGTTTCCTCAAAGGAGGAATTGATTGCTTTTGTTAGCAACTATTCCTGCCATCTTAGAGGCCAGTGCTTGAATCCTGTCACTCAATACTGTAGGGGACGGCGACATTATTAACTGTCATATATTGACTTCTTGTCTTTGGAAAAGCAGAAGGGATCAGTGCTGTCTGCCTTGAAAAACATTACAAAAGGAATGCTTTTTCAAAATAATACGGCATTATTTAGTCGAATACCACATTCGCATTTGCTTGGCCCTTGAAAGCAAGTGCATGCCTGCAAAATGATGAATAGAATAGGAAATAATGACAAAGTTACTCCAAGGCTGGTGTGAGATACATTGCAAAGTTTTATCCCTCATATTATTGTTTCTATATCTCACAAGATAAGACTCCTCTGGGGGAAGAGTCTACTTGGCAGAAATTTTAACCTGGATTACTTTTCAAGCTGCAGTTAATTAACTTTAGCTAATTGTCCTTCAAGAGCTTATCTACTCTGAGAAGTTTGCAAAATGGAAGAAAACAGCACATAAAGCACATTCAGGTACTCAAATTACATTAAAAAAAATTCCTGTTTTTGCATCCTTGTAGCTAGAATCTCATTTTCAATGTTCACACAGCAGTGACAGAAGGCATTTGGATGGAGAGAAGTTTTCTGTATACCCTTACTCACCATGTGCCAGGTGGATCCATGCAAAGCTCAGACATTCAGCAGCCATAAACACACAGAGTAAATGCAAAGGACATCATTCTAAGACTTCATTACAGCTTCAAACCCTGCTTTTGGTTGGTGTGGTGGACACATTCGGGGCTGATGTGTGAAGGGTGTAACACTTCTATCTATTGCTGCCACTTAAGAAATACAAAGCAAGTTTTTAAAAAATCTACAGATAGCAGCACATATATTTTCTTATAAATCTATCATTATCAAGATGACTGTTAAATTCCTATTACTTTGTAGATGCCTGATCTACAAAAGCACAAGTGTAGACTACATCCACATCCAATAAAGGGTCTGTGTTCCTAAAGTAGGACATAGGCCCTGGGCAGGTGTTCATTGCAAAAATGAGTACCAAATTGGTAGCACTGTATTTTATTTTATATCTGTTTTAGAAGATGGCAAGAACTTTGTAGGGCAGCGCTGATGGTCTGAGTGCAGGACATGTCTGAAAGGTTGCTGGGCAAACGTTACAGGATCAGAAGAGCTTTCCATGCATGCAGAAATCCTCCAGTTCCAAATGGGCAGAACAGCTTCTTGTTGAGTTCATCTCTTTCCAATCTGATGTTTTCCCAGCCAACACTGTGATATGGCTGGTGTGCTCCTAGAACCACAGAAAACATGGTAGCTGTCAAAGCAAACAACACAGGTACTGTCAAAAGCAGTGCCATTCAGTTTCTCATGTGCTCAAGCTGAGTTATCTTCAGTACTATATTATGAGTTGCCTTAAATTCATGTGACTATAAAAATTCTAGCTTAATATATCTTCTGATATATCTTTTAGTTTTATATTTTGGAAGGACTTTTTCCTGTTTTTTTGGGTTTTTTTTGCAAGCTTGGGTGTGTTAGTTCCCCTTACATCCATTCTCTGTGATCAGTTTCTTGATTCATAGAATCAGTGATTGATGTTTGAGTTGGGAGGGACCTTTGAAGACCATCTGATCCAACTCCCCTGTAATGAACAGGGACACCTTCAGCTAGATCAGGTTGCTCAGAACCCCATCCAGCCCACCCTTCGGTGTCTTCAGGGGTGGGGCACAAATTTGATTAAATCACAAATAACCACTATAGTTAATATTCTGCTCCTACAGTGTATTCAGAGAAGCTAATAAATCCATCGACTAACAAATGTTAGAGTTACATTCCTGCTGGTGTCGAGCTGAAGGCAAGAGGCAAGCTTTTAATTTGGTTCATGTTCTGAGAAAGCAGGAGTTTCAGAAGAGGACCACACGCTGTATGTGGAGCTTCATTGCTATTTGAGGCAGGTCAGAGATACCTAAGCAAGCAGACAATCTAAGTGTAGATTCGTTCCAGATGGAGTCACTAGTGCAACTCAGAAGTCCAAGAAGAAACTGGTGGTTTCTACTGCAGTTTTTGGTGCCATGTGAGGTGAGAATTCAGCAAACACTGCTCCCACCAGGCAAACAAATCTCTTCTGCTGAGTCTTCCCCATCCAGAAAATTCCTGAGGTTAATCCTGCAGCCTCCTTTATGCACTGACATGGCCATCAGATGAGGTCAGGCTTGGTCCCACTTGTCCTTGACACGGCTGTGGCAAGGGAGAGGCCCCTGCCATGGAAGCAATGGGGACAACTGCAAGGTGCCCCTCACCAGCACACCAGGAATATTAGTGGCTGCCTGGGCATTGCTCTGCCAAGCAGAGCATGTCTGCCCTGATGGCCAGGTTCCCCACGCTCCTCTTCTCCCATCACAGCCAGAATTGTCTGCTGATGTTGATCTCCTGTGGCAGCGGGGCTTGAAATTAATACCCTATTGAAATCCAGACACTGGTGCCTTCATGATATTGCTCCAGGCTCTCTGCAGACATGGGCTATTTTGATTGCACTTTTTGCTTTCTTTCATTCGAGTTCCATGACAACCCTGAGGGTAAACATTTGATACTCACAGCCAAATTCGTCGTCTTTTTATGAGACTTGAAGGAACAGGGACCTTTGTGTAGGTATACAGAGGCCTTTTCTTTTCCTAGCAGCTCTGGCC